GGTGTGTGTATGTGGTGTGTGTATATGTGTATATGGTGCATGGTGTGTGTGTATGTGTGTGGTGTGGTGTGGTGTGTGTATATGGTGTGTAGTGTGTGTATGTATGTGTGTGGTGTGTGTATGTGCGTATATGGTGTGTGGTGTGTGTATGTATGTGTGTGGTTGGTGTGGTGTATGTGGTGTATGTGGTGTATGTATGTATGATGATGTTTTCCAGAGTGGGGCGGACGGGTCTGTGGGAGGACGTCTCCAGCTGACCGTCCCAGAGGACCTGCACCAAACGCTGCAGCCTTGCGCCCAAAGCCCCCGGGTCTGCTTACCGCGCAGCCATTCCTTCGTCTGCTCCAGCCCCTGCTGGCCCCGTCCCTGCAGCATCTCTAGTGTCCATCCCCTTGTCCCTCGGCCGGCACCCTTGCCTGGACTTCCCAGTGGCTTCCAATCCCACTCGCTCCTCTGGGTCCCTCTCTTTCCGGGGAGGTGCCTTATCAGACGGTGGGGCCCCCCACTGCTTTCCTCGAGGCTCTCTCCTGCTCCTTGGGCTGGCACAGGAGAGAGCTCTGGCCTTGAGTTCAAATCCAGCTGCAAGAAGGGAGTGACCCTTCTCTCTTGGCCTCAATTTCCTCATCTGTAAAATAGTGCTCCAGGATAAAATGCAAACTCCCCTGTCTGTCACCCAAAGCCCTTTATGACCTGGTTCCAATCACCATTCCAGCTTTATTGTACATTCCTACCCATCCCGTGCTCTGTCCAACTAGGCTGGTTTCCTTCCTACTCTTCTCACACACATATGACTTTCCCTCTCCTGCCTCCAGGACTTTTCATCGGCTGTATCCTCAGAACACCTCTGAGAATCCCTGGTTCCCTTTGTGATTTAGATGAAGTGCCTGGGTGGCACCACAGCCAGTTAGGACTAGTGCCATGCCTCACACTCTGCCTGTCCTGGGCACTCCTCTATCCTGTGCCCTCCACTCCTTTCTACCCCCCACCCCAACCCTGGGGTCCTCAAGTGAAGGTTGGGAGGCCTGGGGAGATTCTCAGTCAGTTCCATGGTGGGTGGACTGGGCCCCTGGCGCCCAGGCTGGGGGGAGATGGGGTGATATCAGAAGGATGGCCCGTCTGTCTCTCCTGCAGTGCCCCCTTGCAATCTCTCCCTTCTCTCTTCATCTTCAGCCTTGCCCTGAAGCCCATGGAACTGGAAGAGGATGAGGGCTTCAGCGACTGGTCCCAGAAGATGGAGCAGCGGAAGCAGAGATGGGGTCCAGATGGGAGCCTGGACGGCGGAGAGACCTCTCAAGAAGAAAGCCCAGAATATGAGGACCGAGCTGAGGGGTGAGCGTTCTGCAGGCACCTTCTCCAGGCGTGAGCCACAGGTCCAGAAGGATGTCCAGCCGGGCAGGGGAGGGTGTCGCCCCAAAGCAAGCACAGACAGCTGGACCCTGGTCATCTTCCCGGGGCTTTGCCAGCTCCTTGTGCCGCCATGATGGTGTTTGAGTCCAATGGGGGGAGGAGGGAGGAAGAAGGAGAAAGGGAGGCTGAGGGCCTGCCCCAGGGAGGTGGACTCAGGCACACACACACAGCTCGGAACAGGACACACAGACTCAAGGGTTGCTTGTGAGCTGTACGTAGTTGGGGCTCCCAGAGGTGGCCAGGAACCAGGGATCAGTGAGCACTGGGGGCATGTGGGGGAAGGAAGCAGGGAGTGGAAAGGGGGAGCAAAGAAGGAGAGAGGGAGAGACAGAGAGAAGGACAGAGGAGGCAGAGAATAATAGGGAGAGAAGGAAAGCATGCAGCAGACGGGAGAGGAGAAGGGCGAAAGGGAGAAAAAGATGAATGGGGGGAACGGGAGAGGAGGCAAGGAGTGTAGAGAAGGGGGGCAGGGAAAGAAAAGAAGGTGAGGAAATGGGAGCTGCGGAGTCTGGGGGCCTTCAGGGCCATGGCCCTGATTTGATATGCCCCATGCCCAGTGGACTCAAACCGCCTCAGGTCTGTTCCCAGCTTCCTGGCTCCCTGCTGCCTCCCTGGGCAGTGTGGAAGCCTTTCCAGTTGCCCTAGTGGCCTGGGCCACAGCACTGAAAGGGCCAGGGATGGAATGGGGCTGGACCTCCTCGTCCCCCTCCTCTCCCTCCTTCTTTCCTCCCTTCTTTCTTTCCTCCCTCCCTCCCTCCTTCTTTCCTCCCTCCTTCTTTCCTCCCTCCCTTCTTTCCTCCTCCCTTCCCTCCCAGGGCTCTGGGCTCAGAGACTTAGTCCCTCCCTCCCCAGCTAAGGCTCTGCTTAGACTCAGGCCATGTCCAGGGAAACTGAGGAAACACACAGTGCTGGGGGGAGGGAGCTCCCTTGGGCCCCAGCCCTGTCCACAGCTGTGAGGGTGGGTGAATTTTGGGCAGACGTCACATGTGGGCCTCAGTTTCTTAGAACTGGAAGAATCAGTGCAGGAAGATTGTAGAGTCCAACCCGTCCCTGTGCAGGGGAGGAAGGGAAGACCCACCCCGGGAAGGCCTTTGGCCAAGGTCCTGGAGGTGGGAAGTGTCAGAGCTGGGATGGGAACCCAGGCACCTCAAACAGTGGCACAAATTGAATGCTCCATCAGCCGGCTGTGTCGGTCAGGCTGCCTCTCGGCTGTTTAAAGTCTACGGTTATCTCTGTTTTCCTGGGGTTTTACTCCTTTTGTGAACCGTTTCCCAGGCCTTTTAGTCTGGCCTGCTTGGCCACACCTCTGCTCTGGAGTCCCTCAGACTGGCCCTCTCTGCCTCAGGCCGCCCCTTGTCTCAATGGCTGCCTCTGTCCTGTCCAGGCGTGGGTGGGATCAGGCTCTTGGCATGGTGCGTGTGAACCCTGAGCTGGTCACAGATGGGGGGACTCCAGGCAGTACCCCTAGTGGTCATCTGGCCCCATGATGGGAAGATCACTACCTGAGGCTGGGGAACAGCCCATGCCCCTTGATGGCAACTCCTGCGACTTTAAGCCTGACCCTCTCTTTTTTGCTGACTAGACCCCAAGCCCTGCTCCTCAGGGCTTAATGCTGCTCTGGGGGAAGGTACTTGAGGCTGATCTCTTGACAGGGGTCAGGGCTGGGGCCAGCATTGAGCCTGGAGCTGGGGCCTCAGGGGCTAAACCCCAGCGACCCCCACTCACCCTCTTCCTCCTCCCCAAGCCTGTGCTCCCTCAGACTGCCAAGTCTCACCCTCCCCCTTTTAGGCTCCTGACCACCCATCGGCTCTGCCCCCTCTTACCTCCTTCGCCATGGACGCTGCCCTTATCCTTCGTGGCCTCTCTGTTGTTGAATCAGGTTTCAGGCATGTCCATGACCCTGTTTGGGCTTTTCTTGTCAGAGATCCTGGAGTGGCTGGCCATTTCCAGCTCGCTTGACAGATGAGAAAACTGAGACAAACAGGGCAAAGTGACTTGCCCAGGGTCACACAGCTAGGAAGTGTCTGAATTCAGGGAGAGGAGTCTTCCGGACCGCACGAGTGGCACTCTATCCATCGTGCCACCTGGCTGCCCTGGCCTCAGTTTATCTATTTGTAAAATGAGGGAGGGAGCAGATGTGTGGTAGCCCGGCAGCTCTGGATTCTGTGATCTCCGTCCCAATTCTTTAGGCCTTTAAAGTTGGCAAAGCATTCTCCCTCTAAGGACCTGGGAGTGCTAGTGTGATTGTCCCTACACGCAAGTGACCTGTCCGGGGTCACACAGCCTCTTAAGTGGGGCAGCTGAGCCTGATTATTGCCCAGGCTGGCGGGGCCTGCTGGCGGCAGGGAGGGAGCGGTCTGTCATCTGCTGACCCTCCCCCTTCTCTGGGCAGGTCCTCACATCCCTCCTATGAGGAGGAGGAGGAAGGGGACGATCCTCCCCTGGGCCAAACCCAAGCCAGCCTGAGCCAGCTCTGCGTGGATCCAGTGCCCAGGCCTGGGGAGGCCGCGAGAGACATCCTGGAGGAAGAGATCGGCCTTCTGGAGACGGGAAGCTGCCTGCGGGTGCAGGCAGAGTCCGAGGTACAGCGGGGAGCTGAATGGGAGGGCACGGGAGAGAAGAGCCTGTGTCCTGGCTGGACCCCTGAACGGCCACTTCCCCCTACCCCATGCCTTTTTCTCCCTGTCCTTCTTGTCCTGACTTGGGCTCTCCTGCCCCTCCCCTCCCCGGTCCCTGTGGTTGCTACTGTTTCTAGCGCTGGAGCTCTGGGTTTCCAGGCTGTACCTAGGGTGGGGTGACTGGCGCTCTGCTGCAGGTGCCCACATTCAGAGGGTCTGGTAGCACTCCACATGTTCTAGAGAATAGAAAAGAGGGAGCTGAACCAGAGTCACTGGGATGTCCCCAACACCCAGCTCCACCCCATTCACGTTACAGGTGGTGGAGTAGCCTCAATGTGTCCGGGGGAGTTTCTGCCCAAGCCCGGGGCAGGGCTCTGCTATTCCCTTCAGCTGAATTTGTCTTTCTAGGCCGATATCCAAGCCCTTCCCATATGGGCATGCATCTTGATAAGTCTGCCGTGGAGGCAGAAGATGCTAGTTCTGGCCTTCTTGGTCTCCCTTCTGACCTGACCAGAGACTTTCAAGTCCCCCCGGGAAGGCTCAGTGCTTTGGCCTGATTCTGGTGGCAGTCTGGGGCTGTGGAAAGAGCTGGGGCCTGGACATTCTTGTTCCAGATCTCTCATTGATTGGCTATGCCCCTTTCGCCACTTTGTGCCTCAGTTTCCCTGCCTGTTAAATGAGAGGATAGTGTGACAGCCCTGAGACGCTGCAGTTTCTGACTTCCTTCAGATGGAATTGGTCCCAGAATTGTATAATTGGAGAGCTGGAGCAGGGCCCCACCCTGGCCTGAGGTGCTGCTTCTCTGGGGCAGGGGCTAGCCTGCCCTGTAGAGCTCCCCACACACTAGGGCTGATAAAACTGGGGGGAGGGGGGAGGACGACGTCTCATCCCTTCCACAGGGGCTGAGGGTCGACATCTGGCTTGGGTCACAAGATGGTCCAGCTGGGGGCACCCTCTTACGCCCTGGCGAGGGGCTGGTTTTCTGAAGGCTTCCCCCCACACCTGGCCTCTCTGCCTCCAGGACAGAAAGGCATCACTGAAGGCCACTCCTGTGGAGGAGGAGGAGAGGCAGCCTGAGGCCCCCAGCCCCTCCAGCCCAGAGGCCAGGGAGGAGCAGGACCCAGCACCCCTCAGTCCCACCACCAAGGTAGGCACTTTCTTCTCCGCAGGGACCCAGACGACAGGTTTTCCATACTGGCCCAGTCTTGTTTGTCTGAAAAGAGAAGTTTACGCTGTCCATTTCTGAGCCTCAGTTTCCTCATCTGGATAAAATGTTGGACCTGAGTTCAGATCTGGCTTTAGATACTTACTAGATGTATGACCCTGGGCAAGTCCCTTTATCTGTGTCTGCCTCAGTTTCCTCATCTTTACCATAAAAGGAAGAGAATAATAACATATGTATATATAATATGCAATAATAATAATGCTACATACCATTAGTCTATGTGGGGCTAGGAAGTGCCCCTCCTGCTGCCCTCATAGGGCTATTGGGTGGGATTGGTTTGGGTGGCTGCCTGGATTTGGGATGGGAGTTACTGCCATTTCTGGAGCAGCCTGTGAGGTTTCCTAGTAGCGATAAGTCAGGTAAACAAGCATTTATTAAGCGCTTGCTGTATGCCAGGCACTCCGGGATCTTGGGCAGGTTTCTGAGCATGTCTGGGCCTCATGTCCGCAGGTGGGCTCTGACCAGCTGTGATCTGCACTTCAGTGAGCTCAGCCAGCAGCCCTGACCCCCTGGGCCAGTCACAATCAGTGCCTGTTAATCGATGTGTGTATGCTCCTGTTTGACCTTGGTCGTTTCTGGACGTCTTCCCCTCCCTCATTTGATAACGCTGAGCTCTCCACTCACAAAGAGTGATTCGGGAAGTCCCTCCAGGCTTTTTTTTCTTACTCTAGCCGAACTTTTTTTCTTTTTCTTTCTCTTCTCTTTTTTTTGGCGAAGCAGTTGGGGTTAAATGACTTGCCCAGGATCACACTGCTCAAGAGTCTGAGCTGGATTTGAACTCAGGTCCTCCAGGGCCAGTTCTCCAATCACAGTGCCACTTAGCTGGCCCTTTTTTTTTTTTTTTGGTCACCTCACAGCCTTGTCTGGCTTTAAATTGTCAGTCTGTCTGCCGCTTGGCAAGGTGACTTTCTCGTTTTTTTAAACACAATGTATCCTTTTACATTGAGAGGATTTGTCAGTTTGGGAGGTGTGGCCATATGTGGTGTGCCAGGCTGGCCTCAGCCGACTTTCCACCAGAACGCCTTCTACTTTTCCCAGCTGGTCGTCTCAGATAAGGATTTCCTCCTTATTTCCTTCCTAATTTCTCCCTGTTGATTGGAGCCCTGCCTGTGTTACACTCAGAGCTGCTGTCCCTGTTGGCTTCCCGGTCTTTCACACCTGTCCTTTAAGAGGAATGACCCAGAGGATTTGCATATCCCCGTTTTACAGATGAGGAAACTGAGGGAGACAGGTGAAGTGACCTGTGCAGGTCACTCTGCCAGTTGGTGACCGAGGCTGGGCTCAGGGTGTGGCTTCCCAGTCCTGGACTCTCTCCACCAGCCGCCTCTGGGGGATGAAGTGGTGAGGGAGAGGGGCCGAGCTTTGGAGGGTCAGGTAGCGGACTCTGTCTTGGACATGTCGAGTTTGAGCTTTGCCCAGGACATCGGACTAGAGATGTCTGATGGGCAGGCAGTGATGGGGGCTGGCACCTGGGGAGAGGAAGGCTGGACCTCAGCAGGGAGTCTTTTCTAGAGCTGGTCACTGGGGAAGATGCTTCTGTGTGCTGGGGCCCAGCCGAGGCTGGAGGTGGGAGTGGGGAGCACAGCCCGCGAGGGCTTAATAGCCTCTGGCCTGTCACTCAGCCCTGATGTTAGCTGCCTAGGAAACCTTCGATCACTTCTCTGCATCAGGCCTCAGTTTCCCCAGCAGGAAAATGAGGGCACTATCCTAGGTGACCTTGTCTTCTGGCCTGGAAGAGCCTTGCAGGCATCAGTGTGGGCACAGGGCCCGGGGGAGGGTGGGGGAAGGATCTGCCTCCCTCAACTCCCACGGCCTTGACACTGACCTCTGCCCCTCCTCCTTTCTAACTTCTCCCCTTCCAGCTCATCGACAGGACTGAGTCCCTGAACCGGTCCATAAAGAAAAGGTAACCCTGCCCTGGGGAGTCAGGTGACTTTGGGGAAGCTCAGATCACCTTGGGGCTGTCGGGGCCTGAGAAGGGGGCCCGAGTCCTGGCTGGCCTCTGCTCTGAGTTTGTCGCCCTTCTCCCCTAGTAACAGCGTGAAGAAGTCACAGCCTGCCCTGCCCGTGTCCAAGATTGATGACCGGCTGGAACAGTACACTCAGGCCATTGAAGTAAGGGCATTCTCTGGCCCCTGGGCTGCCCTGTGGGCCAACGTGAGCCCTGCCCGCGTCCCCTCGCTGCCCATCTGGAGGCCATGGTGAAATCAGGGGATCCAAGATGGTGGGGAGGGCTTGGGTTGCCCCGAAGGGCAGAGGCAGTCACCAGGACGGGCAGGGACCTTGGGTTCACGCCGTCCGGGCATTGGTCAAAGAGAACTAGGGGTCATTGAAAAAGGGCAGCCTCGTCTTGCTCGGCAGAGAACGAAGGGCCCCGGGGGCCAGGGGGCAAAGAAGCCAGTTGCAGCTGGAGATCAGGGCGGCCTGCCTGTCAGTGAGAGCTGTCCAGAGGGAGCGTGCTCCCCTCGTTGGGGATCTTCAAGCCGAGGGCCGGGGCGACCCCCTCTGGGGCATGCTAGAAATGGCATCGGGCTCCTTGGGTTAGCCTTGCGCTGCTCAGAGATGCTGCCACTCTGAATGGCTCTCAGCGTGCGAGCAGGCCCCCGCTGGGATGCCCTGTCTGAGCTTCGGGTAGAACAATGCTTAACAGAATCCTTCGGTTGAGACCCTCGTGGGGACGGCGGCTGCTCCCTCCACCCCCCCCACCTCCTGAGCCCCCACGAGGGGGAAGCCTGTGGGGGAGGGGGATGGTGTGGAGGGGAAGACTTCCTTCCTGACGAGGTCACATGAGCGTAGACCTCGAGCCAGAAGGGAGGGGGTCATAGGGAGAGCGGGGCAGGCCCTCCAAGGCCCCCCAGGCCAGCCTCCTGTTCCCAGAGGTTCACACGGGTGGGGGTGTTGAGCCCAGGTGTAGGCCCCCTGCCTCCCTAGACTGCCCTTCTGATGCTGGTGACCTCACCTCAGCTTCCCTGCTTGAACCTCGCTCTGGTGCATTTTAGATGCCCTTCTGTCCACGTCCTTCCCCTCGTCCTCCCTTGCCCAGCTCAGCATCGACTCTGCTAACTAAGACTGTGTGTGCGTGTGTGTGCGTGTGCCTGTGTGTGTGTGCGCATGTGCGTGTGCGTGTGTGTGTGTGTGTGTGTGCATGCGCGTGCGTGCTGGCTGCCTCCATCTGCATCTGCCCTACAGACTGCTGGCAAGACCCCGAAGTTGAGCCGGCAGCCGTCCGTGGAGATGCCCGCCATGACCGTAGCCAGCTCCAAAAACCTGTGGGAGACTGGAGAGCTTTTGGCTCAGTCTTCGGCCAAGACCCCTCCATGCAAGGTAAGCGCCTTCTCCCCTCCTCCCCCATCTGGGCGCAGGGAGGTTCCTTCAGCGGCCGGAGGGGAAGGCCTGCGGGTGCTGGCTCCTGCCCTCTCAGACCTCCCACCCCAGGAGATGTCCCCTCCATGGGACGAGCGCTTTAGAGGAGGCGCCCTCAGGAGGGCGGCATCAGGGAGGACTTCCTGGAGGTGGGGGTTGCATTGAGGTCAGCTTTAAAAGCTGGATAAGAATTCAGTGGGTACGGCCTGAGCCGGGGCACAGGAGCGGCAGAGGACAATTCTGAGTTCTGGGACGTCATTCAAGCACCCTCCCACAGGCAGAGAGCGGTTTACCAGGGCCAGGGCGAAGTATGCTTGGGAGTAGGACAAAAGCTTGGGTGACACCTGCTTGCGGGGAGCCTTGAATGTCAGGCACAGGCGTCTGATAGACAGTAAGGATCTACAGAGGGTTCCGGAGCAGAATGATGCTGAAACTTGTGCAAAGGCTGGGGGTGGGGAGAGGTGGGAGGGGGCTCCGCTCAGCTCTCTCCTCCTTCCAGGACATCGTGGCTGGAGACATGAGCAAGAGGAGTTTCTGGGAGCACAAGGGGGGCAGCAAGACTTCCTCTACCGTCAAGGTACTGCATTTGGGGGGGCGGGGTTAGCAGGCTTCAGCCTACCCTGCCCAGAGGCCGAGGCTCCCTGAGGACAGGCCGTATTATACATGTCCCTGTGTGGGTGCATGTCTGGGGTGTGGGTGTATGTCTGTGGTGTGTGTGTGTGTGTGT